TTTCAAGTAACATAAAATTTGTTCCAAAGCTGCCCAGTGTTTGACAGTAGGCAAGGACATGAACTGGCTAACAACACTTACTACAAAAGCAATGTCTGGACGAGTCACAACAATGTAGTTTAACTTCCCAACTAACCTCTTGTATCTCTCAGGATCATCACAAGGGTCGCCGTCATCTTTCATAAGCTGCACATTGGGAACCATTGGAGTACTGCAAGGTTTAGCTGCCAACTTTCCAGTGTCTGCAAGAAGATCAAGAATATACCTTCTCTGAGACAAAAGAACTCCCTTCTTGTTTCTATTTACCTCTATACCCAAAAAGTATTTCAACTGGCCCAAGTCTTTCGTATGAAACCTAGTATGCAGGAAGGATTTGAGGGAAGAGATCCCCGCATAATCACTTCATGTGATGACAATGTCATCAACATACACAACCAGCAGGATAGTACCACCTGTTGATTGTCGGTAGAAGACTGAGTGATCACATTTCCTCATTTTCATCCCAAACTCCAGGACTACCTCACTGAACTTCCCAAACCAAGCTCGGGGACTCTGTTTCAAGCCATACAAGGACTTCTTCAAATAACAGACTCTCCCATACTCCCCGTGAGCAACAAAACCAAGTGGTTGCTCCATTTATACTTCCTCTTGAAGATCACCATGAAGGAATGCATTTTTGATATCCAACTGATGTAAAGGCCAATTCTCAGAAACAGCTAGAGAAATGAACAAGCAGACAGAAGTAAGTTTCGCACCCGAAGAGAAGGTGTTTGAATAATCCACTCCATAAGTTTGAGCATACCCTTTAGCCACAAGCCTAGCCTTAAGTCTTGCCACAGAACCATCTAGATTAACTTTAATTGTGAACACCCACTTACATCCCACTGGTTTCTTCATGCTAGGTAAATCCACCAAATCCCACGTGTGATTTTCCTCTAAGGCATGTATTTCCTCAAGCATCGCATCATACCATCCAGGATGGTTCAAAGCTTCCTTCACTGTTTTGGGTATAGAGATGGAGTCTAAAGAAGCAACCAAGGACCTCGACATAGAGGATAAACGGTCATAGGAAACAAAATTAACAATGGGATATGTGGATTGACAAGTCCTTTTACCTTTGCGAAGAGCAATAAGGAGATCCAAATTCCCTAAAGGATCAAGTGAAGAAAGATTTGATAACAGAGGAACCGGTGCAGAACATGTATCATCAATCTCTCGTCTTCTCGAATAAACTTGAACAATTGTTGGTCTTGCTAAAGCAGAAGTTGTAGGTCCAATAGTCAATTGGTGTTCAATAGGGGAACTAGGAGATTGAAGAACATTATTTGATTGTTCTGTCACAACACAAGTAACCTGATAAACTAACCACTCATCTTCCTCTTCTTGAGTTGTAGAAATGGGAGGTGCATAGAAGAATGGTGTAAGTCTCTGAAAATACCACATTATTTGACACCAAGTATTTACCAAGCTCAGTAGAATAACATCGATTACCCTTCTGAAGGCGTGAATAACCCAAGAAAACACACTTCAATACCTTAGGGTCCAACTTGGTAACAGATGGCCGAACATCTCGAACATAACACGTGCTTCCAAATACCTTAGGCTCCACCGGAAATAGTGACTTGTTTGGAAAAAGAACATTGTAAGGCACATTACCAACAAGAACAGTCGATGGCATGCGATTAATCAAAAAACAAGTTGTAAAGGCTGCATCAGCCCAAAATTGTTTAGGAACCTTCATTTGGAACAAAAGTGCTCGAGCTGTCTCAAGTAGGTGCTTATTCTCTCTCAGCAACTCAATTTTGAGAGGGTGTATCAACACATGAAGTTTGATGGAGAATACCATGTTGTCTCATGTAGGACTGAAACAATTCTGACATATATTCTTTAGCATTATCACTCCTTAGAATACGCACTGAAGTATTGAACTGAGTTTTGACTTCAGCACAAAAAGCATAAAAGTGAGTAAACACTTCAGATCGACTCTTCATAAAATAAATCCAAGTCATTCGAGAGAAATCATCCACAAATGTGACAAAATACTTACGTCCGATTTTGGAAACAACAGGACATGGTCCCCAAACATCTGAATGAACTAACTCAAAATTTGACTCTACCCGCTTATTAACCCTTGGATTTGTTGAGCTACGATGGTGTTTGGCAAATTGACACGACTCACAATCTAGTGAAGGAATATTTTGAAACTGAGGACAAAGCTTCTTCAACATAGGTAAAGAAGGATGTCCTAATCGACAATGTGCCTTAAATGGAGACACGGCACAAGAGTAGGCAGCAAAAAGAGGCTCCCAATATTCATCAAGAATGTAGAGACTATCAGATACTTGTCCTTTACCAATAACTTTATTTGTCTTCAGATCACGAAACAAACAATGATCGGGAAAGAATGAGATATAACAGTTTAGGTCTATGGTAAGCTTACTAACAGATATCAAATTAAAGGCTAACTTTGGTAGACCTAATACAAATGACAAGGTAACAGTTCCAGATCCTATAGATCCTATAATATTACAGATTGAACCATCAGCAACCGTCACAGGAGAGAGTGCTCCGTGTGATCGAAAGCTAGAATATATATTAGGATTACCTGTCATGTGATCTGTGGCACCTGAATCGATCACCCATTTATTTGAAGAGGATATAAGACATGTTTTTCCTGACTCAACAAGGGTAGTAACTGAAATAGATTCTTTTTGTAATTTTTGATATTGTGAGAATTTTGCGAACTCTTCCGCCGAAACCAAAGTTCTTTAATCCGAAGACATAGGAGCCACAATTTCAGTCATTCTCTCCAAATATTTTAGCAGCACGAGAACTCATCAACAGAAAATATAACCAGAAGCATATACGTACCCCACAAACACTGATGAACAAATTCTAAAAATGATTTTATCAACTAAGAAACCAATTGCCCACCCAAAATAAAGAATCTGAGTACTTTACCAGTAGACGAGCATGTAATGAACAATCAAATATCCAAATCCTGAACCGCAGCTTATGACCAAACAACAACAATTATCTGAACTGAAGTAGAAGCTAGAAGCCACAGAACCACAAATCACAAACCAGATTCAGTGTAGCAGAATAGAAACGAACTTGGAAGTGACAAACAAACTTTCCAGATCATATTTTAACACCAGTACAGACCTGAGAAGTGACGAACAGACTTTCCAGATCGTATTTTAACACCAGAACAGACCTGAGATTCGCCAGAAATACGTGTCGATGCCATAAATTAAAACACAATCAATTCAGCCAGACACGCACCTTCACGTGCCGGCGCGTGATGAACAAAAGACTGTATGACCGGTGCGTGAGAGCCACTCGCTTCACAACCAGATGCCGGTGAAGACTGGTTTGGATGAAAAATATACTCCGCCTCCTTCTGTGGTGGTGATAACACAGACTGACCACTTTAAATCAGTGGAATAGAAATCCAAACTTCTTCCGTAACACAGCCAAAACGACACGAGCCTATTGGCTCTGATACCAGGTAATTGAATGGAAGATGTTGTCTTATTCCAGTAGGTGAAGAGTGAATAAATACAATACATAAGGTGCTAACTAAGGAAAGAAATAAAGAGTGATTCCTACAGATCTGCAGTGATCCCTATAAATCTGTTGCCTGTATATAGCTATGTATATTACTAAGATTAAGTCTATATACATTCTATAACAGTTATAATTGTTTTATCAAACAAAAAAGAGAAAGAATCTCCCTGCCTCATCCCTCTGTGTGAAAGAAAAAATCTTTCAGGTGACCCATGGATCAAGATGGAGAATCTTACTGTGCTAATACAGAACTCATCTAGTTAACTCATTTCTCTCCAAAATGCACCCTTCAGAATGCTGATAAGAAAATTCCTATATGTCAATCAAGCTTGTGTAAAATCCCTGATAAGAGATACAGTATGTTGCATTTGAAACTCTTATCAAAATATTCCCTCAAATAAAATTTCCCATGATCTTGATAACATCTTCCTTAACTTAGGTTTGATCTCTGTAGTTTGTGACAGGTTAGTTCTTTGTTTCTTCCCAAACCAATAATTTAGTTTGTCTTCTCTTGTTTAGGCTAGGGTCTAAGTTTCATATACTTGGATATGTGTACAACTCCTACCCTTTATTGATTCCTTGTTCTAATTCTTTATTATAGTTCTTCAATTCCTGTTCTTGTGTTCTTGAACTGATTATACTCAATTTGGAGGTAATAGGTATCAACACTTGATCTTGTGTTTCTGCATCATTGATGACTAGACTAACCAAACAAAGATATGGAGCTAAGAAGTTTCCTCGACCCGATTTGATGTTCTGAACATCTCTGCCAAAAGACTCTTACAAAAGACGATGCAGAAACAAATGACTGAGTTCCATTGTTTTTCCTATATATAATGCAACGAATCAAGGTCATGGATATATAACTTTTATTTCAACCACAGCCCGTAGTCGTACTAAGCCTTTCAAGTAGTTAGGACCAACCGAACTATTGCTCAGACTAACAAAAAATATTGCCGTACCTGTGTCGGATCCTCCAAAATTGCACTACTTTTGGATGATCCGACACGCATCCGTCGGTATTTTTGAAGAGTCCGAGGACAAAGGACCAAGTACATGCATAATGTTCAGAGGAAGCCTTTCATGTAAAAAGGATAGAGTAAATACATTAATTTAAGTGAAACTTTTATTTGACAAATAGAAGGTGTTGATAGAAGCTTCTTGCAGGTTGAGAACAAACTGGGTATAGGATCAGAGTTTACAAGTGAAGATCTGGGGGTCCATATTAATCAGGCTGCCTGCATTAGAATACTCATATTTTTTTGGCCTATTATCCTCTTGTTTACGCTGCACTTGTGGAAGTGTTTGGTCACTCTCAAATACAATACTGACAACTGTAGCAAGTGGGAACATCAAGCACATGAATGACTCTTTGTTCTTTCTATTACATTCATGAAAAAAAAATCACTGGTGCAGAACTAGTTTATTACCTGCACTAGGTTACACTCAGTCCTCTTAGGAGAGCTTACATCACCCCTTACCCCAGCAGAGAAAATGTTGATGCCTCGTTTTGCATTGTCTGGCACATTTGCATCACATTTAAAGTCCCAGTTGAGGATCTGAAGCATCAGACGCAATGCTGCTGTACAAACTTTAACTTCAGGAATGGCAGCCTCTGATTCAGCTATTTTATTGGAGACACTAACAGCAGCATCTTGTGCCCAGCAGTAAAACAACTGCACATTGGAAGTAGAAAAGAAAAACAAGGAACAAAGAACTCTTGTGAACCATATGAAACTAGTCAAAATTGAAGAAACTGCAAACTGAACTGAGGGGGCTGATGCAAGCTGTAACCAAGTCAGAGAAAAACATCAATGCATATGGTCTACTGACTAACCTTTAGATATTCTAACTCAAAAGAGACTCGGCATTGCTCATGAAACTCCCTAGGAAGAGCCATAGCAATTGAAGTAGATGGTGAAAATTCAGATACCTGAAAAAGATGCAGAACAAATTTAACAGAAATTTTTTTGTAATGAACACTGAATTTGATTCTACCACATAAAAGAGAGTAAATGTAAAATAGTAGTAACAGCTTTGATTGAAAGTTATAAGATATCGCATGTGTGATGTACCAAGGATTCCAGAAAGTTCAATCCAATGAACTGCACATCAAGACCATGGCCACCAACTATCGCCTGTCTCACCTGTAGTAAAACGAGAATAAAGATCCTATGCATCGAAAAATTATTTAGCACATTCAATTTGATAAAATTGTTACTCATTCTACTGTAGCATCAAAAGACACAACTGTGACTAAAAGCAGTTGTGATTAAGTAGGCATTTGGATAGATTTGGTTGAGATTTGAAAATAGTATTTGAAGTTAAGTTGGAAAGGGATATTTGGAAGTTGAGAGCGCAAAGATAATGGGGAGGAGGTACTATCCCTCTTCATGGTATAAGGCTATAGGCCTCGTTCTGGGAGATATTTCTTAATGTACTGGAAAATTCTTGTGCCAACGATTATGCTCTTGAGACAATGAGAAATGCAGCTCCATTCCAAAACTTTCTTTCCACAGCATCTTCCTCCTAACTCTAAAACAAACCATGAGACCACTTCCTTGAAAGACATGTGCTCCAACTTCCCTAATTGTGCGGAGAAGTAGGAGTTTCCCCCTACGTAGACAAACATACAAGTCCTCATCACAATAAAAACTCATGCCAAATATCATATCTAATGTAAGTGTACTAATAGCTAAGCATATGCTCCAACCAGCTAGTTTTACCGATAGGAATCCTTTAATTCCATCATGATTTTTTCTTATTTTTTACCTGATTCACATTGATTCCGAAATATTTTCATGTATGAACGTACAATTTTGCATTTCTACAAAATTTCTCTTGATGATCGTTTTATACTAGAGGTCCAAGCAGTGATGCCATGCGCGGTTCAGTGTGGTCGATTATTTCTAAGAAACTGTACCATAATATTTTTCGATTACTCTATGATGTATAACCAAAATTAGACTTTTTGAAACCATCCTAATCTCTTGGTTTCTCTTTGATTTTGGTGCGGTTCAGTTAATTTTTCTATTTTTTAAATGTCATTTGATGGCTATTGCAACCAATAAAATCTGACAGATTTAAATTCCTAAAAGTTACAATAACATAGAATGAGAATATTTTTGCGTTTGTAATACATCTTATAATGCCAATTGACAAAAGCAATATACTTATTATGCTTATCATATCACGTGATGCATCATTCTTATTATGAATAGGCGTATGAAAATTTGTATTAGATTTAAAATGGAATCAGTAATTGGTTTTGTTGAACAATTAAGTTTGTGTACTTAAGCATGCTTTGTAATGTGGATATCCTGTTTTCTTGTACATGATCATTACTCTATCAAGGAAGTGTTTTATTATATGTAGTTGGCCATAGAGGTTTCAGAAACGTCTATTTTCTTTTTAAAAAAAATAATAATCTATAATTGAATATACAAAGCAAATATTGTGGAAATCTCACATCAAAGTACAGTAGCCTACAACTAACGCCGATGGATTGAGTATGTCTTTTGTTACTATGCTGAAACTTAATGTTTAGATAATCACTAAGAACAAACTAGTGCTGAGTACTTGAGTTGTTGTAGCAGTGACAATATGTTTTGAATTTTGGTATTGTAGTCCTTTTAAACAAAGATTTATCCCAAGACCCAAGTACCAAGGTTCAAGATACTTACTATTTTAAACTTAACCTGTAAAAAGTTATTTATTTATTTATATATATATATATATATATTCGGTTCGGTTCAGAAATTTATTGGACTTCTTTATAAAATATAAAATCCACCTTAATTATTCGGTATGGTTTTAGATTTATATATCCTCAATTTTATTCAAGAAAACCAAAAATCGATTTGGTTCGATCGGCTCAACCAGCTTTTAAAAACCATTGACACCCCCCTAGGTCCAACATTTACTTTCATATAATAATTTTAGATTAATAATCACCTATAGAACTAGCATTATGCTCATTTTGTAAAACGTAGAGTTAGCCTTTTACTTTTTTAAGCTATCTTCTATTTTACTCCATTTCAAGAGAGTGATATGTGACCCCAAAGAAATCTGAGATTCTCTTTTTCTTGCAGAGAAATGTCGGGATCATTATAGTAATACCCTTAAGATCCTATTCCCAATGTATGCCGCAGCTGCAATTGAGGCATAAGGCCCTCTTTGAACATGTCTTAAAAGCAAGAGGTCTATGTTAGCTGGAATGTTTGCTGAGATTGGAGCTTACAGATGTGTCCAGAGGAAATAAAACCCAACCAGGATTATGGAGCATTTCCTCATTTGCATAATTTCAGAGGAAAAGCTAATTATGATGAACATTTCCTCACATCACGCCCTTTAGAGGGAGATCCACTAAGAGAATAACAAAAGAGCTAGGATCTATGGAAAATCTCAGTACCTTAGGTCTAAAAGGTGAGAGGGGTCTGATATCCAGTCAAGCTCTCAGAGAGTTATCAGGCAGCTCAAGTTGGTCCAACAAGCTCATAAACTGTATTTGTACTGTCACTGAGACAGTACATATAACATGACAGCATCAACACACAACTGACAACTTATCCACTTGTCATCTCATGCTGAGGAGAAATCTGTAGCGGAAACAATGGATTGCTTTGTAATCATGTTTTATTATGTGGTGTTAGAGATGTCACCTTTACAATACATTGTGGATGTTTCAAGTGGAAAACAAGTTTCAAAGTTTAGGTGGAATTTGAATGGTATGATACGTCTGTCTTGTCTAGTTAATTCACTTTGAGAAAGTACATTACCTAATTGAATTATAAAACAAACATCATGAAACCGTCTCGACTTCTCAGTTAAAGGTAGCAATCAGCAAAAAATTCTACCTTTAACATATTACCAAAGAAAATAAGTCTTCAGACAGATGGATAATGCAAGGAAAGCATGTACTTGGACCAGAAATATCCACTAAATGCTGAAATTATAAACTTGAAAAAAGAATGTGACAGACCTCAAGGAAAAATGTCTCCTTCTGAGCTGCACTGAATTCTATCCTACAAGATGGGACACAAGAACCAGACATGAACGACTTTTAAGTACCTATTGCTTGCAAATTTATGATATCATGTACACGAAAGCTAAATTAAGGAACTGCTCATATCAAAGATAATACTTGTGTTGGCTAAGCACATGAATACTAACCAAAGGAAGTGATAATCATAGCATGCTAGAATTAAAAGATCAAAGATGCCATAAAAATAAACTTGTCATTTTGAAGATTGAAAAGTCCCTTGCACCCCTTAAATATAAAACATGGTTTCCTTGTATGTTTTTTAACTTATCTAGCACAGTCTCCAGGTTACAAAGATTACCCCAGTTATTTCCCTGGTAACGTATATTTTTTAATTCTAAGCCAGAAATCACAACCACAAGAACATATTTATTTCCCTTGCTGAGGTATACCACTGTCATCCATACACATGTTATAACCAAAAAAATCCGTGAGGGCCAGTGGCGCCTGGTTAAAAACTCGGTGGATAATGGGCCCATCCCTCAACCTTCCTCCAATTAAATACCAGTCTTTTGACTGTGGCATGGTTCAAACCAGTGACGTGCACCTAACACACACATCACACGCTATGCTCTTACCACTAGACCATGTCTCAAGGGGAAATCTCCTTTTGTTTAATCACAAAACCTCGGTGTATCAAATATAATTAAATCACAAAAGTATATCAAAAAAATTATAATGCATACATGTGTGTGTGTGTTCACAGATATGTGTATACAGAATTCAGCTAGTTTAACAGCATAAATATACTACTTTTGGAATCACATAACAAGTCGCGTTAGCAGTACATTATATGACCCGTGAATTATGATCTGCTTGACTACAAATTTCCAATATAGAGCCACTTACCAGCCTCTTTTTATCAACTGGGCAGCTACAGATGCAACTTTTGCTTGAACATAGCCCTCAGGTGAACTAGCATGTTGTGTAGCAGAGTGAAAACAAAAGCTGCAGTAAATGACTAAATTTTAGAAGAACACCAGAGTAGAAAGATGTATTGTATCATTTTTTCGGGGCAATTCTTGACAAGGGTGGGGGAGTTGTATATCTTACAGATTTGGCATTGATGAGAAAGCGGCAGTAAATGACTAAATTTTAGAAGAACACCAGAGCAGAAAGATGTATTGTATCATTTTTTCTGGGGAGGGGGGGCAATTCTTGACTAGGGTGGGGGAGTTGTATATTTTACAGATTTGGCATTGATGAGAAAGATATATAGAAATAACAGAAAGCCTAAGCTACTTTTTTAGGAAGGTAACAGTTAATCTATATATTCACAGGTATACTACATCAAAAGTCTCCAGTCAAAAGTGTAGATCTTACATTTGATTTCCTATACTTTACTAGATTACAACCAGTCTATAGTTGTATAAATGTCTTCTGCTTGACCTATCACTACCTGCTTACACCGAAAATAATACAGAGCTAGAGAATTCAACTTAAATTTCTGAATGTTGCTCTGCTACTCCTCAAAACACCTCTGATTTCTCTCCATCCATACTATCCCCATCATATGCTGGCTGAGACAATCTTCCAGCTCTCATCCTTCTTAGCTGCATTGACAGCCCTATTCCAACACTTCTACACTTCTTTTATGCTTCCTGACTTCACCCATTTGATTTTCCTCATATTGATAAAAATCTGCCACAATTGATCGATCCGCTTGCAATGTAAAGAGAGATGGTTGATCGTTTCTACTTGTTCTTCAAAAAGAAACATCTAGAGCAAAGCTGGAAAACCTCTTTTGTTCAAGTTTTCATTAGTCAGTACTTCCTCCTTAGTCAATAGCCAAGAGAAATAATTTACCTTGTAAGGCACTTTGGTTCTCCGTGTCATCCTCCATGGCCACTCTATCTCTTGGATTCCAATGGAATTTAGATAATTTAGATATCTGTATGCAGAGTTAACAGTGACATTCCCTTTTTTTTTTTGAGAAGGTAACATTTTTTGTATAACTATATGCTGCATAAAAACTACAGCTGTCCATACTTACAAGGAAATATAGGAAGATGTACTAAGCTATAGCCTACTTACAGAGATCCTAGAACATCATTAAAAGATTCTATATCTTCCATATATTCATGTTTACACCAAAAATAGAAAAGGGCTAGGCACTTCATCTTCTGTTTCTGGATAGAGCTATGATTATCTTCAAAATGCCTTTGATTTCTCTCTTTCCAAACTGTCCACCAAATACAAGCAGGGATAATCTTCCATCTTTCTTTCTGTTCTGACAGAGTGCTATATTTGTTCCAGCACTCCAACACTTGAAGTGTATCTCTTGGCATCACCACGTGATCCCTTTTAAATTAAGGAAAATCCTCCAAAGTTGTCCAGTTAACTTCAGTGTAAACAAAGATGGTTGATTGTCTCTGATTCTTCTCTGCACATATAACATTTAGGGCATAAGTGGAAGCCCCTTTTCTTAAGTCCTTCATGAGATAGGACTGTTTTCCTGGCCATGAGCCAAATGAAACAAGCCACTTTGTGAGGAATTTTGACTTTCCAAATTAGTCTCCATGGCCAACAATTAATCTGGTTGTTAGAATGGTTAAATTCTTTGTAAGCTGACTTGACTGGAAATCTCCCTTGTTTATCCACTTTCCATGCAAGATTGTCTTCCAAAGAGGAGGGAGGGGCCTTTGAATAGATTGAGAGTGTTGTAGAATTCTGCCAAGTTATCTATCTCCCAATCATTAAGGTGTCTTCTGAAGCTTAGATTCCAACCATGAGCATCCCACACTTCTCCTACCGTGGTATCTTGTAGTTGATTCAGGCTGAAGATAACCGGGAAAAGTTGCTTTAGTGGACGTTGACCTAACCAGTTGTCTGACCAGAAAGATGTTCTCAAACCATTACCCACTTGATGATTGCACTTACTCATGAGTTGTGCCCCCAAATTTCTGATAGACCTCTATAGACCGACTACATAAGGTGTAGTGACTGACTTGGTTGTCCATTCCCCATCCATTTCATACTTTTGACTAATTACCTTTTTCAAGAGAGATTGTTCATTTGAGGCAAACCTCCATAACTATTTCATCAAAAGACTAGGGTTCTGAGTTATCAGGTACTTGATTTCCATACCACCATACTTTTTGCTGGTGATCACTGACTACCGTTTGACCAAATGTATCTTCCTGGTATCACAGTTGCCTTGCCAGAGGAAGTTTCTTCTGAGAGCATCTATCTTCAGACATAGCCATTGTTAACTCTGTCCAATTGATCTTTCTGTGTGCTATCTTGTCACATTGAAATCCCCACAAAACACCCAAGGACATGTGTAATTGTTCTTTAGATTGGTTAAATCCCTCGACAATTCCCTTCTGATAACTTCGTTCCAGTCAGCATAAATTGAACTTAGGAACCAACTTATGTTCATATTAATGCCTTCAAATCTGCATGTGATTACTAGCCCAGAAGCCTCCACCAGTTCACCTTTCCACATTCTCCTGTCCCATAACACTGTTATACCCCCACTTATCCCCACAGCCTCTTGATGTAATTCTCCCAGCCATCTGTTAAACCACAATTGTTTGATCAATTGTGTATCTACTCCTGTCAATTTTGTTTCCACTAGGACGTAAATATTTGCACCCTACTGTTGAAGAAGACTCCTAATTAATCTTCTTTTATTCTCGGTGTTTGCCCCCAAACATTCCATGTCACAACTTTAATCATTGACCACTTGAAGTTGTCATTCTCCCCTTGCTTCTTTTTGATACAGGTAACATTCGTATATCAATCATCAGCTCAAAGCTGGTATCCAAAAATTTACATCATATCCTACCTCCACACTTGTGTGTCGGGCATAAACAAAAGATAAAGAAAAGAAATGAAGAAAAAGAAAACTATCCCTAGATCCTCCTTTATCTTTATAAGGACCCTAGAATGTCTACAATAGCCACAGGGTCATCTACTATATACTCTGAACTACACCAATAGCAAAAAGTGATAATGCAATTCATTTTAATCTTGTGCAGAGGGCTGCTCTTGTTATCAAAATTCCTAGAATTCCTTTCTTTCCATATGGTCCACCAAATAAAAGCTAGGACAATTTTCCATCTACTCTTGTCTGAGCTGCCACTTCCCTCCATATTCCAGCTTTCTAGAGCCTGTCCTGTCCTGTTCTCCCTGGAACAATCCAACTTATACCTCTGAAGCTAGTAAACAAATTCTACAGTTGGCCAACCACTTTACAATGTAAGATCAGATGATTAATTGTCTCTGCAACCTGCTCACAAAAACAACATCTTGGGCACATTTGTATTCCCCTCTTCATAAGACTCTCGTGTAAGTACAACCTCTTTCACCACCAACCAAGTAAAAACTACCACTTTATATGGTATTTTAACCTTCCATATAAGCTTCCATGGCAGAAAGTTAACTTGGGATCCTATCTGATTCATATTTCTATATGAAGAACTAACAGTGAATAAGCCTTTGTTATGACATTTCCATTTAATAGTGTCTTCTCCTTCCTTGAATCCTAAGAACTGATCAAGTGTTCCATAAAATTCAGTCAATCTTTCCACCTCCCGGTCTTGCATCAGTCTTCTATAGGTAAGGTTCCATCCATGTTCAGATCAAACTTCATAAAGAGTCGACTCTTGTTGTTGGTTCAGGTGATGAATATCTGGGAACAAGTGTTTGAGGCTTCCAGTCCCTAACCAGTTATCTTCCCAAAACCTGACCTTCCTCCCATTGTTCACATTACATTTAGTCTACGCATAGAAGCCATGCCATAAGTTTCTAATTGATCTCCACAAACTGGTTCCATATGTGGATGTCACTTCCTTAGTCTTCCAGGGTCCTTCCTTCCCATATTTGGCCTGGATCACCCTACCCCGGAAATCTCCACAACCACTTCATGAGAAGACTTTTGTTCTGCTTCCTAAGATTTTTGATTGCCAGTCCTTCCTGCTTCTTGGAAAGTAGCAGTGTCTTCCATTTGACTAGGTGGAAACCTTTATATTCCTTCTCACCGTAAAAAATTCCTTCTCAGAGCATCAATTCTTTCTTCTACCTTTGCTGGAAGGGGAAAAACTGACATTAAGTAAGTTGGTAATGCATCCAAGACTGAGTTGATCAACACTAATCTACCACCTCTTGATAAATATTGAGACTTCCACCTAGACAATCTTTTCTCACATCTTTCCACTACTCCATTCTATATCTCTTTGGATTTTCTTTTGGCACCCAAAGGCATACCCAAGTATGTTGCCGGTAACTGTCCTATTTCTCCACCCAAAATATCCACTAGATTTTGTATTTTGGGCACGTCATTGATTGGAAAGATGCGACTCTTTCTCCAATTAATGTGCAACCCTGATACTGACTCAAATAGTATGAAAACTATCCTCAAAATTTTTAGTTGGCTATCTTCTGCATCACAAAAAATCAAAGTGTCATCTGCATATTGCAGATGGGTGATTTCCAATCTAGTATTCACCTCTTTGACCACATTAAAACCCCTTATCCAATCATTCCTATGCGCTGTTTTAATCATATTGTTCAGGCCTTCCATGACTAGCAAAAATAAGAAAGGTGAGAGTGGGTCACCTTGTCTCAAGCCCTGCTTGCCGGAAAGAAACCTTCAGGGGAACCATTTATTAGTATTGAGAACTTGACAGTGCTAATGCAGAACCTTATCCATCTTATCTACTTCCTCCCAAAACCCATACTATGTAGAATTTCAAGCAAATACTCCCAGTTAACATGGTCATATGCCTTCTCTATGTCCAGTTTACACATTATGCCTGGGATTTTTTTTTTTTGAGAAAGGTAACTTGTATTATAAACAAAGAATACATAAGGAGTATTCTAGTAATACTTACATCCAAAAGTTGCTAAAAGAAAAGAACTCCTATGGAGGTCATAAGAACTCTAAAATACTAGGAATATCCTCTGCATCTTGAGGATATTCATGTTTACACCAAAAAAAGAAAAGAACTATGCAATTCAACTTCAAATTTTGCATAGAGCAGCTCTTGTTTTTAAAACATCTCTGGTTCCTCTCCATCCATATAGACCACCAAATGCAGGCAGGGACAATCTTCCATCTCTCCCTGTGTCCTGACTGATTCCCATCTCTGTTCCAGCAAGCTAGAGCTTCTTTGATGTTCCTTGGCATAGTCCAACTGATGCCCCTTAAGTTGATGAAAATCTGCCACAACTTCGCATCCTCTCTACAATGTAGAAAGAGATGATTTATTGTCTCGACCTCACATTCACAAAACCAACACCTGGAACAGATTTGCATGCCTCTTTTCATGAGGTTGTGTTGAGTGAGTGCAGCCTGATTGGCTAACAGCCAAGTGAAGCATGCTATCTTGAGTGGTATCTTGACTTTCCAAATCATCTTCCAAGGCCATCCACCTATATGAGTACCAGGTCTTTGTGAGCTTCTATAAGCCGAGCCAACTGAAAATCTGCCTTGCTCATCTGGATTCCAAAATAGATTGTCCTCATCTGTGTTTAGATCTTTGTACTGCCCTAGAATGTTGAGTAGCTCAACTATTTTATTGACCTCCCAATCATTTAGATGTCTTCTAAACCTTGGATCCCACCCTTGATTATCTCTCATTTCTCTGATTGTAGCCTCTTTTTGAAGGATCATGTTGAACAAAATAGGGAACCTATTTCTCAAAGTCACCTGATCCACCCATTTGTCTTCCCAGAACAAAGTCCTTCCACCATTCCCTACCTTGATTTTGCATTTGTTAAAAAATTTGATCCATAAATTTCTAATGGATCTCAATACTCCAGATCCATAGGGTTGTGTGGACAGGTTGGTGATCCACAAATTCTCCATACCAAACCTAGCTTTATTGTTTCCTTCCAGAGAGCCTGTTCTTGTGAGGCAAATCTCCATAACCACTTCATACGTAAGCTTTGATTCTGGATTTTCAGATTCCTTATCCCCAAACCTCCTTCCTTTTTGCTGAGAATGACTTGGTCCCACTTCACTAGATGGAATTTATGATTATTAGGATCACAATTTCCTTGCCACAAAAAATTCCTCCTAATTGCATCCATTCTATCAATCACATTTGCAGGCATATGGAAAACAGACATCATATATGTGGGTAGAGCATCTCGCACACTGTTGATGAGTGTGACTCTTCCTCCCAAGGACAATATTGACTCTTCCAGTTCACCAGCTTCTTCTCACACTTTTCTAGAATGTTGTTCCAGATACCTTTTGACCTGCTCTTGTCACCCAAAGGCATGCCAAGGTATGTTGTGGGGAGATCTCCTATCTTCCCCCCTAGAATATTTGCAAGCATGCTTATCCTAGGCACCTCATTGACAGGAAAGATGAAGCTCTTTCTCCAATTGATGTGTAGGCCTGAGATGGCTTCAAAAAGGATCAGAATTACTCTCAAGTACTTTAGTTGAGAGTTGTCTGCATCACAAAATATCAATGTGTCATCAGCATACTGTAAGTGGGAGATGGCCAGACCTTGTCTGTTATTCATATTAGCATTTTATCCTTCACTCTTGAGTCAAGACATTCATTTGCAATGAGAACAGCATCAATGATCTGTCTTTCTTTCAGAAAGGCCATTTGTTGAGTGTCAACCAGCTTTGGCATCACCTTCTTTAGCCTTTTTGTAAGAAGAATTTTGGAAATTAGTTTGTAGACACTTCCAATCAGACTGATTGGTCTAAAATCTTTCAATTTGTTGGCTCCATTCTTCTTTGGAACAAGTGCAATGTAAGTTGCATTAAGGCTCTTTTCAAAATCTTCCTGAGAATGGAAGTTCCGGATGGTAGCCATCACATCCCCCTTTAGAATCTCCCCCCGCTTCTCGGTTCTCCATCTTTAAAATTCATATTAAAAGACAAATTCCTCACCTCCTTTGGGATGTTATAGAATTATTGTAATTCTTGTATATCTCCATATTTTGCCTGAAGAATTCCCTCTTTTGATCAATTTTCAAAAATAGTTCAAAAGCAGTCTTATTGCATCCTTCGAAGGCAGCATCAAATAATTTGTTTAGTTTAAGGACATTCGCTTGCACCCATAAAGAAGTTCTGTCATCAATGGCTTCCCCTGACAGAGGATCATCACCGGCAATAGGAAGACTAGGCAGCCAACATTGATGGGTCATGTGTCGAAAAGGTCTAGGCAGCCAACACAGAACAGCCTTGGGAAGTTTCTAAAAAGTGAGAATGGTCAGACAAATTAGACTAATTAGACTGAAGCTAACTGAAACCCAAGCTGGTGATCTATATCATCAAAAATAGGGATGGGCTCAAGGACTAAAGTTCTTTGTCAAGAGTTGGCCAGAACAAAGCCACATGCCCCCACACGCTAGACAGATCTCACTAGAGATCTTTTCCTCTACCTAGCATGACGGCTCCCTTTTCAGCGGGGATGATTGGTGTTTGCTTGCCAGAGAATGTCTGACCTGGTGGTGCTTTATCATAGCAATCACAAAAATAGAAGATCAGCAAAACAGATTGACAATGAATGGAAAATTGCAAGGCAACCATCTTTCTTTCTCCCGGAAGTCATTAGTAATGTACAACGACTTCCCTAATCTAGCTCTAACATCGTGTGAGAAATTAAACATGTAAAAAAAACTGAAAAAGTGAAGAATGAATGTCTTGGTTTTTCTCCCAAGCTATAGGGTATTTAAATAGTACATACATGTTACAACTATATTCTAAACTGGGAAGAAATCAAGAATACATAATTACATTATTTCCCTAATTGATTCTAACTATTATACACGATCGATCTTCTCAAGAAACATTATTTAAGCAACATCATACCTTATTAACCCTCTCTTGTCATCAATCTCAAGGAATACCCATTCCCTTAAAGCTGCATCTCGAATTGCTCCAGCAGCCTGGAACCTAGCATTTGCCAACTGAGAATTTTCTGGTAAAAGAAAAAGTAACATTAATGATAAATAGAACATTATTCTGTAAATAGGAACATTATTCTGTAAATTTTTAGCTACCAGGAGGCCAAAGTTTCTAATGAACTTTTGAAAATCATGTATATGGTGAATTTCATTCTTAAGAAAGAAAATATATTGTGCAGTACGCGTATGTGGTTAGAAAAGTCGCAAATTCTGGTATTTCTAAAACAACAATAATTAGGCGAGTAACATAGATTTATCTCATGGAATATGCTTTTTACATTTAGACCATATTTTTTTTTATCAAGCAAAGATTATTTAGACTATATTTTCTAGTAAAAAAAAGATAGAATATAACATGTGAATGGGTGGCTATACATATTTACCAAATCATTGGTGGGTTAAATTTATCCCAATGTTCTTTCATATTCCCTTTTTGGATGTCAACATTTACGTCATGGGCTACTTTCCAACCAATCCCCATAATTTGTTGGTCTCATCCCATGGTGTCCGAAGTTTCTAAGTCACTACTACCAAGCTGGTCTCTTCGAAATCTTTGTTGCAACCGTGTTGATGCAACATGGCTGTGGGTGTGGGTGTGGGTATGGGATTCACACTAGATTTGATTCCGTATGTTGAGTGCTTTGAATACATATATGACCAAGAAGTATAGATTGATTGGGTATTGGTTGCTTTTTGGGTTACTGTCATGTATTTTGAAATTGGTACCTGTGTATAGATTTCATCATGAGCAAACCAGTAAATCTATATATATATAAAGGAGGATCATAGACAAGGTGATGTGGCACCACTCTATGGCCTCCATTTGCATTTAGCCTTTTTCTTCTTTTTTTTGGCTTTTTAAAAAAAAAAAATTAATTATTATATTATAAAAATAAATTCCTTAAATTTATTACAAATAAATATTTTATTAATGAAGGAACATTTTTAACAAAAACTCTTCATATTCTTTTTTTATTTATTTGTCTCACTTGTAATAAAAGGAGAAACATAATTTATCATTTTTTGACTTTTTTTTAATTCAAATTAATTATTGTATTGTAAAAATATATTACTTAATTTATTACAAAAAAAAAAATTATTAATGTAGGAACATTTACAACAAAAAAACTCTCCACGTTCTTTTTTTCTATTTGTTTATCTCACAACTAATCATGAAATCATAATAAAAAATTTTACATTTTAAGTATTTTTATCTTTATTTTTTAATTTATTCACAAGGAGTTATTACCCATGACTTGCCCCTCTTTAATTTTTACTCTTAATAATATTCATAACTCTCATAATTTTTATGTCCATAACCTCCAAACTTAAATTTGTAAGTTTATGATGTCTTATGGTATTCCTTTATTTTGCCTATAAATTCATAATTAGTTTCATGAAGATTCACATTCACAATTATCCTTTCTCTTTTCATTATATTGGTTTGGTTTGTAACAAAAAAAAAGTACATGAAGGTAAGAAATATTTCATTGCAAATTTTTATTTTTTATTTCCTCTATTTTTGTCTATATAAATTTGTAGTTGGTTTGTGAATGAAACTAACATGTAACAAAAAAGTACATGAAGTTAATAAATATATCATTCTCAAGTCCTTATTTTTTCATTTTCTCTATTTTATCTATATAAATTTATAGTTATTTTCATGAAGATTCACATACAAAGTTATAATTTCTCTTCTTCATCATAGTTGTTTGTGAATTAACTAACATGTAACAAAAAAAAAAAATGAATGTAAGATATATTTCATTCTCAAGTCTTTCTTTTTATTTTTATGTACATAGACATGCTTTCTTAATATTTTTTTATGTTTGTATTATCATTCATCAAGCAAGTATGATTAAAAAAAATAGCTGTAATTCTTAACAATGTGTTGTCTGTATGCAATTGCTCTTTCTAATAGTTAGTTTTCCGGATATAATATAGTTTGATTATAATATTTGTTAGATTTCAAGAAATAATTATTGTTTAGTATTGTTAGTACTATTGAAAAGATAATATACAAATATATTACATATAGTTTAAATTTCGTTCTTTCTTTTGACATAATTATTTTTAATTGGTATATGATATTTTTTTTTATTTAGTTGGTTGCATATAATGAAAAGTTTGACTTATGGATCAAAACATGATGGCGGATCTACTTGCAAAGGAAGATGGTAGAAGGAAAAAAAATGAAGCATAATTAGAGATTATTTTTTCACTTTGAATTGTATTAGCAACTTAGTTACTTTTGCTAGAATTTTTTAAATTTTGATTTGTATAACTCATGTCTCTTCATCTTACTTGTAACTTTTAATATTAAATATTATTCATAACTTTTGTATGTTTCATTTTTTATAAATTTTATAAATATTTAATTAATGTTTAAAAAATTATATAAGCAAATATAATAATGACATAATAAAAAAATCAATTTTGTTTTGACGAAATCAGAGTTTGAATAGAAAATTAGTACTCCTACAAAAGATAGAGAAAATTAAAATATATAAAATATTTTCAACGTAATACAATATATTGTTATTTCAACATATTATCTCTTATTCCATTTACTTCACCACGGTGAATATCATTCTACTATATACATATACAAAAAGAATTATATTTTATATGTTTAAAAAAAAATGAAAAAACCTATGATATCACAGATGAAGAGAAATATTAATATTACCTATATATTCGATACTAACCTAAATATTACATATTTCATATTATTATCGTATAAATATTTCATATTGCCGCGCAAAGCGCGGATAATTTCACTAGTTTCATATATTATTAAAAGTGGGAAGCTCCAAAATATAAAGTTGATTACTATTTTATCCTTATACTAAATTAAAATATTATAGAATGTTTACTTAATTAAATAGTAATCATTTATGATAGAGTAAATTCCTCCTGTTTTTGAATAAATATTAACAAATTTTTTTTTTTTGCTAGTGTGAGGTGATTTTTTTTTAATCACTTTCCATGTAGATATCATAATCAAAATTACAGAACTTAGAGGGGGACATGGCAACCTTACCTCTGATCACAAAACATAGAGCTAAGAATGGAGTAAACTCCTCTATTGATGAAGGAATTTATTTTGTCTCCTAACAGCTCCCACCCCTCATTGAATGCATTTTCTAGAAGTATAATAATTGCCCTCTCCGTACCTTTAATGGATATTAAAAATATAAATTTGTCGTACATGTTAGACTTCAAAGACGTGAAAATATTGGTAACATAATCCTGCAACTCCAAGTTTTAAATGTGTTCCCTCTGAATCTAGATGTTTCGCTAAGTCTTCTCCAGATCCATGTGAGAGCCCCCTTACTTAGAATCATTCTTCTCATATTATTTCAGCTACTCTCTACCAGTCATACCATGTCCCCACCTTTAATCTCAACTCGGTGATATGGTATGACTTCCCCCTGATCGAAAATAAATTCTATTGTCCATCCTGGTCATAAGGAACAGGACGTCTAGAGAATAGAAAGAAAAAGGGAGAAAAAAAGAAGAATTTTTTGATGGAACAGTTCCACCATAATGGGTTCCAAAACCCAAAAGGGGTTTTAGAAGGATGCCTCGAAAAAAGTGCCTATGAGCATTTTCTTAAGTGGACATCACCTCGGTGCTTATAACTAATTAAATTCAATTAGTTTTAGTTTAATAGCTTTAACTAATCAATATATTTACTTTTTTTGAAAATGATAACGATGTATTATATCACAAAAGTACATGGGTTGTACTCAAACCTTATATACAGATGCACTCTAGACACTCCTACTCTATTTCTATATTGAGTCTAAAACATCAACTATAGAGGCAGTGTCATTTGAGTATAATTGATTACACCAAAAACATAACAACAAAATGCAGTTTAGTTTAACATCCTGCACACTATTTTCTATGCCTTCAAAACATCTGGAATTCCTTTCTTTCCAGATTGCCCACCATATTGAAGCAGGGATAATTCTCCATCTAGTTCTGTCTTTTGCAAGGGCACCTGCCTCCTCCCAGCTGTACAATGCCTCAGTAACTCTCCTAGGCATAGTCCAGGATATGCCTTTAAGACTCAAGAAAATCCTCCAAAGCTGCCGAGTGTATTTGCAGTGTAGAAATAGATGGTTTATAGTTTCTAAGGTTTCCCCACATAGGAAACACCTAGAGCATAAGGTTATCCCCCTTTTCATTACATTATCCTGAGTCAGGGCAGCTTCCTTAGCTAGCAGCCAAATAAAGCATGAGACTTTGTGTGGGATTCTACACTTCCATATTTGTTTCCAAGGCCAGATGGGACTCTGTTGGCTTGATTGATCCATCAGCCTGTAAGCTGAATGCACTTTGAACTCTCCTCTATTGTTGCCTTTCCACCAAAGCATATCCTCATATGCTTGAAGTCCAGTAAAGTTTCCAACCAAGTTGAGGAATTCTGCCAACCTCATCACTTCCCAGTCATTTGGTTCTCTCCTGAAGATGAAATTCCACCCTTGTGGTGTCCATAGTTCTTTGTCGGAACATTGCCAGATATTCAGGGAAAAGAGTTTCCAGGTTACCTTTCTCATGCCATTCATCCTTCCAGAATTTGATCTTGTTCCCATTCCCCACTTTCATCTTGAATTTGGGTTAAACTTCCTCCCATAATGCTCTTATGGATCTCCATAAACTGATCCCATAAGGTGTGGTCACAATCTTAGTCATCCAACTATCTTCATTCTCATATTTGGCACCTATCACTCTTCTCCAAAGTGTTTGGTTTTCATTTGAGTATTTGCACAACCACTTCATTAAGAGTGCTTTGCCATGTAGCTCCATATTCTTTATTCCCAGACCACCATTCTTCTTTCCAGTTGTCACTGCATTCCATTTAACTAGATGAAAGCCTCTATTCTCTTTGTTTCCTTGCCACAAGAACTTCCTTCTTATGCTGTCTAGTCTTTTAGTGATCCCTGGTGGGATGGGGAATAGAGACAGCATGTAAGTTGGGAGAGCATCCAGGACTGAGTTAATGAGGGTCAGTCTGCCCCCTCTTGACAAGTACTGAGTTTTCCATCTGGCCAGCTTCTTCTCACACTTCTCTATCACACCATCCCAAATTTCTAAGGACTTGGATTTTGCTCCCAATGGCATACCCAAATATGTTGTAGGTAGAGTACCTACTTCACCCCCTAGAATTGAAGCTAACCAGTCTATGTTGTTGACCTCATTGATAGTATACATTGAACTTTTAATTCAATTAATGTGCAACCCGGATACCCCTTCAAACAGCACCAGGATCACCCTTAAGTATTTCAGTTGGTCTTCCTCAGCTCCACAAAAAATCAGTGTATCATCTGCATACTGAAGATGTGTCACCTCCAAGCTTTCTGTATTTTCTCTAGCCACATCAAAACCTTTTACCCATCCTCCATATTTGCTGTCTTGAGCATATTATTCAGCCCCTCCATAGTAATTAAGAACAAGAAAGGGGACAACGGATCACCCTGCCTGAGTCCTCTTTGAGTTTGAAAAAACCCTGCAGGGGACCCATTAATCAGAACAGAGAAGCTAACTGTAGAAATGCAGAAGCTGATCCAGTTCAACCATTTTTGTCCAAATCCCATCATCTCTAAAATCTTCAGAAGGTACTTCCAATTCACATGATCATATGCTTTTTCTATGTCCAACTTGCATAGAATGCCAAGTTTCTTCTGCTTAATCCTGGAATCTACAGCTTCATTAGCAATCAACACTGCATCCATAATTTGTCTCCCTTTTATAAAAGCCATTTGCTGTGAGTCCACCAGTCTGTCTATCACAACTTTCAACCTTTCTGTGAGAACTTTGGAGAGTATTTTGTAAATGCTCCCTATGAGGCTAATTGGTCTGTAGTCCCTTAACTCGTTGGCTCCTTTTTTCTTTGGAATGAGTGCAATGAAGGTAGCGTTGAAACTCTTCTCAAAGACTTCTTGCTCATAAAAGTTTTGAAATGTGTCCATGTTCTTCAGTACATCCCAACACTTGATGAAGAAACCCATTGTGTACCCATCTAGACCAGGAGCCTTATCGGCTGCACATAGCTTTAGGCAATTTAGAACTTCATTCTCCTCAAATCTGCCTTGCAGGGACATTTTTTCCTCTTCAGTCAACATTGGACATTCAACATTATTATAAGAATGTCTCCATTGATGTGTTTCTCTATACAGGTTCTTATAATATGCTATTATCTCCCCTTCAATTTTGCCTTTCTCTTGAGTAACCTCTCCTTGTATCATGAGTTGATCTATATTGTTATATCTCCTGTGAGCATTTGCCATTTTGTGGAAGAATTTGGTGTTCTTGTCTCCCTCCTTCAACCATAGTACTCTTGATTTCTGTCTCCATGAAACTTCCTCTTTCTTGACTAGCTCTTCATACTCAAGTAAGACTGCAGCCTTTTTTGTCGTTTCCTCCACAGTGAGAGTTCTATTTACCCTTTCTGTATCTAATTCTGCTAACTGCTCTAATAATCTCCTTCTTTGACTGCCCAGATTTCCACCCTCTTCTTGTTTCCATTCCTTTAGCTTAAGTTTCAGAGCTTTAAGTTTGCATGCCAAAACATAATCAGGTCTTCCTGTGTAACTGAAGGAGCTCCACCACTCTCTAACTCTATCCACAAATCCTTCTGACTGCAGCCACCAATTTTCAAACTTGAAGTAGCTTTTATTCCTCTCCCAGCAACCAGGAATCAACGCTATTGGTATATGATCTGAGCCCAGCCTTTGAAGAGGAATCTGTTTCAAATTGTTGAAGGTATCATCCCATTCTTTAGAAATCATGAGTCTATCAATTCTGGAGGCTGCCTCCTGTTGATCTCCCTTAAACCATGTGTATGCAGCATCTTCTAATTGCATGTCAACTAATTCCATGTCCTCTATGAAATCAGAAAACTCTCTCATTCCCTTAGTTCTTCTGTTGTAGTTCTTCTTCTCAGATATGTACCTAGATACATTGAAGTCCCCACACATTGCCCAGGGTCCCTCCATCAACCCCCTTACTGAGCTCAATTTCCCATACAAGTCTCCTTTCCTTGTAACAGTTAGGAGCATACACTCCAGATATATGGCAGCTAAAATTCTGGGTTTGTGATTCAAATTTACAAGTAATGGTGTAAGAACCAATTTCCAAGACCTCCCCCATCCATGCCCTCGCATCCCACATCAATAAGATACCTCCTCTTGTTCCACTAGCTTTTAGACAGGCATATCTAATCCACCTGCCTCCCCAAATCTGCTTTACCATCTCTGAAATATCCCCTTCAATTTTTGTTTCTTGGAGACAAACTATATCTACTCTCCATCCAGACAACAAACTATGTACAACCCTTCTCTTCTCCCTATCGTTTAATCCCCTAACATTCCATGATATTAGCTTAAACTCTCCATCCAGACAACAAACTATGTACAACCCTTCTCTTCTCCCTATCGTTTAATCCCCTAACATTCCTGATATTAGCTTAAATTTCATCATGTGTTGAAAATTGTGTTCCTCCCCTTATTCCTACTTCCAGAACTTTTAAATTTTACATCAAAGGCTACAAGACTTTTAAGTTCTTGTGCACCCTTGATCTTGAGTTTCTTAACTTCTGTATCCTGCTCCATTCTCCTGACTTGTCTGCAACTGTCTATTTGTAGCAGTAACTCTGTTGCCTCCTCTTCATGCCCTTGGAAATCGATCCCAAAGATTTTCCCAGTTTTATCAAGTTCTGTTGTACCCATGTTGAATTCGCTTTATCTACATCTTGAGCCCTTTGTTGTTGTTGCACCATAATTGGAACAGGTTCCTCCACCTCCCAATTAACTATTTCTGTGTTTGTGCTCTGTATTGCTAGCCCAGTCTCCCCTGATTTTGTAATTTCTCTATCATCTCCCCTATCTATGGAGTTAGGTTCTTCCTCTCCCGTTATCATCAAATCTCCCCTGAACTAATCGATATATTTACTTTATATGTCATAATATACATTTACAGGCTTCATCCTAGCACTCGGGTCCTACTCTTGAATCCTAAAATTTACATGATGAAGAATCCAACCTTTAGATCTATACCCATACCAGATACACACACTCGAGTCCAAACAACTTAGGTGTCAATGCCAACCAGCCCGTCGCAAGCAGAGCTTATGGTGCCCACACACAAACAGCAGTCAATGTCACATGCCGTCCGCAAATGCCCCATAGTAAGGCCATATCCCTACTAAGAGCCACCTAATCCAATGAAGTTCCATCTTGCTACTACAAGTTACTCAGAGTACTTGCTCCGAAGTCTTAAGGCCATTTTCGTTGCAAATAGCTTTAGTAATTATTTGGTACTTTGTATAAAAATATTTAGTACTATTATTTAATGAGGTTGTTTTAGATACATTAAAAAAAGAACTCATTGAGAAAATGTTATAATATTTTTAAAAATATATATATAAGAAAGGTATAGTAGTAGACGTAAATTGTGTTTTATTTATATTTTGTTCTTTTTTACTATGGTGTTACATTATTTATTTATTGTTTCTCATTTTAAAAGGTGATACCGCTTATGTAAAATCCTGCATACACCATTGGCTGACATTATGACATCATATAGCTTGTTCTACATCAAGACCAACAACTAGACATGAAACTTTACAATTGTCCTATGAAATCGACTAAACTATCTATCTCCCCCACTATTGTCCCAGGTTTGTAAATGCCTTTTGGGGTGAATATACAGTTACCATTGTCAAAAAATATAGCTTGTTCTACAAATATGGAAGCTCATCGAATTTAGCAACTTTGTTTCTCATAGACACAAGGAAAGCAAACTTCCTCATCCATCAGGCAACAACATAACTATAAAAGAGTAATTTTACTCTACAAAAATAATTATCATTTCATATGCTCGCATTTATTTGTTTCTTGAAACAGTGCAATGGTGATAGTGAGTCTGAACTTTGAAAATTTTAGAGAGCTATGAAGAGGATGATTACAAGGACCTACCCAGAATATATTTGCATGCATGGTATGGTTGAGGAGACTGGCTTAGTGACAAAATGGTTTCCTCAGCTGCTGCTGGATTCATATGCATCTGCCAATTTAAAGAACTAATTTTAAATATATACAATAAAATAATTAGATTACAATAAATATAGTCATGTTTTATTTACATAAAAAATATTCAAAAGGCATAGGAAGTATACATTGACTATACACTGACTATACAATATAGTTTGTCAAAAGTCATAGAAAGTATACACCGACTGTACAATATAGCTTAACTATACATGAACTATACATTGATTATATATTATGATACACTCAAAAAGTTGAATATAGTTTGACTATACATCAAATATACACTGATTATACATGAAGTATACATTGACTATTCAATCCCAATCAATTCAAATCATTTTTAAACAGTCCCAAAATTTAGATATGAAATCTTCTTGATGTTTCGACTCTTTAGATATATAAATTGTTCAAAACAATTCACGTTTTCAGCATGTTTAATTAAAAAAAAGAAAAAAGGAACGAAGAAGATTAACAAACCAGCAAAAGAAAAAGATGATGAAGAAGAACAAGCAGGCGACGAAGAACAAGCAAACACAGAAGAAGAAGCAGAGTAGTAATAATAATAAGAAGAAGAAGAAGAAGAAGAAAGAATGCAGATGGCCATTTTGGTTTGGGGGGGGGGGGGGGGGGGGAATATGACCTAATGGTCATTTTATGTAACTTTTATAAATTGGGCTAAAAAGATGATAAATAAACTTCATGGGCTGACATTTTGTATAATTTTCCCAATAAAATAAGGTTCTACAAGTTTTTCTCTGAGACTTAAAATCCAAGTTAAATGGCCACTAACAAGAAGTTACAGAGAAAATGTATAAGGCATGTATCCACAGGAAAACCATTAGTCAGCATCCTATACTAATTGTTATGAGCTAGATAAATAACCTCTACAGCATAGTAATCTTTTGAGGAACCAAACTCTCTATATGGTCCACACGTAAAAATTTCAAATAATTAAAATACTTTTAATATAAGAATTTCAAGATACCCACGTGCCGACACATAATTTTGTGCATATGTTAAGGAACCTGTAATGTGGTCACTATGATTAAAAAAGGGAGAAAAAAGTCTCGTTCGTCCTACTTCATAAATTGTTGTTTGACTTGACACGACTTTAAGATATTAACTTGAGTTATATATCAAATTTGTTGTAGTGGAAGAAAATATTAAAGTAATGGTTGAAAGTTGATCGATGTAGAAAATATCACATCAATGTTGTAGTTTAAAACCTAAATTGTCAAATGAAGCTGAATTCTAGAAAGTTGTGAAAGTTATATATATAGAGACAATATTATTAATAGAATGGTGTTGTGGTACGTCCTAAAAATGGAAAGAGTACCATGTAAATTGGGAGAAAGAGAGTTTATTTACAAAACTGTCCAGGACACTTGTTAGAACAAAAGCTCAACACCAAATGGCCAGTAAGAAGGTAAACCAACAACAACAACATACGCAGTGAAATCCCAGTAAGTGGGATCTGGGAGGGTAGGGTATATGCAGACCTTACCACTGCCTCGTGGAGGTAGAGAGGTTGTTTCGGATAGTAAGAAGGTAAACCAATTCAATTAAATCTCACGTCATTTCTAAGGTCTTAAACGTATTTACACGAACAAGATTATGTGCTAAAAGGAGGAAGAAAAGATTATATGCTCAAACATATCCCAGATGTCTGCATTTGTGATTGATCTTAATATAAATATGATTATGAGGATTAACCAACTTTCAGAACAATTATCAAGTAAATTACGTGGAACCAAGAATTCAGAACCTATCAGCAACAAAAGGGAATAGAATGGAATGGATTATCAGAGCATAAAGCCAAATAGTTAACAATTGAACCACTCAACAGAGACAGCAGGAGAGACAAAAAAGCTTTCCAGGTTATTCATACCAACAAATTGGGATTAATGAAATGGTAAATGAAGTGAAACACTTCCAAATCATAACGAACAAGTGAAACATGCTTCCATTGCAGGTTATAGTGTGTTAAACTGAGCTCTTACTCAATTTAATTAGACCTTCAAAATTATACAACCAACTATAAATTCTTCAGGTAAGTATGACTAAACTAACATAAATTTAATAGTTCAGTTGGACGCAGCACAACCCAAATTTTTAGCACCCGCTCTGAACTTTCCATCCAGAAGTCTTTTTCTAGAAGTTGAACCTCACAGCATGTGTATTGGATCATTTGATTTGGTAAAAATAAGTTACTCTGATATTGTTCAGAAAATCACTTTGTTCCTTAGGATCAAATCATGGCTACTTTGTACGGAAAAGCAGTACATACCTACAACAGTACGGGCATATACGTCTTGACTTTACACTTGCAGTTGAACATGGTGATAAATTCACACTTTTTCAACTTAATTCATTTTTTTTTCATTCAATTTTATGATTCTTTAAGTACTATTCCATAGCCTAAAACTAACTTAATTTGGTTGTTTTCCCGTGTTTGAGCTCAAAGGAAACAATTGGTAAAGAAATGAATCAAAATAGCTGAGAAGAGATGAAATCAGAAGCAAAGAAGTGAAGTGGCAGAAGGTTAAGGATTGCAGCATGATTAGAAATGACTCGAGGAGCCAATTCTGAGGACTCCAAAATGCTGAAAATTGGCTAAATGCTGGAGCATGACAACTAAAGAAAAAGGTGAAGACGATTGGGAAACGTATCCATGATTGGACAAACCTAGGTTGATGGCCAAAGTCTGTTAGTCTTCCCAGCTACATGAATTACAATTTCACTCCACGTTTTCTACCTGAACTTGATGACCAAGGACCAAACGTGGAGCCAATTTCCAATTGTCTCCATGTTTTGTCTCTACATTTTAGCTCCACAGAGGTAATTTTGTCCAATAGTTTCAGCTCGTATAAATAGTAATCTAGGTCGTTTAAAATTATTATTATTATTATTATTATTATTATTATTATTATTATTATTATTATTATTATCTAGAAACCTTTGTAGTAGAGTAATATGGCTTTGACTACTTTGGAAGGGTTTGGAGGATCAACATCATTGTGTTTGAATTCTCTTACCTTTTTAAGGTTAATTAGTAGTAGTAGTTTGATTACTTTTGTCATCTCTCTTTCTTTTATGAGTAGCGAGGATTCTACTAGGTTTGTAACCCATCCCTAGGTTGTGAACTTGAAGGATTAATATATACAAGCTTGTATATGATTAGGTTCAATGTTATCTAGTTAATTTCTTGCTTATTTAATGTAATAGTGGTTGCAAACATTAACTTATGCCGTAAATGTCTTGATTCTTTCTTGACGCATGGAAATTAGGATTGATTAAATTAACTAGCAAGGAATTAGGCTAGTTGAAAGGTCAATTAGTTCTAATGAAAGTGATTGAACAAGTGGTAGGAATATCACACATGGGTAATTTAACCAATTGATCTTAGAGCAATCCTCTTGACCCAATGGAGTTAAATTTGGATTAGGCCCCTCAATATTGAGAAATATTGAGTGGATAACTGAGAATTGCTAGTCATGGAATCCACATCAACTAAGAAAGCTTGGTCAATTATATCCATTAGCACACCTGGGTTAGGTATGAAATCCAAGAGTTTTTTCATCATTTCAATACAGCACACCTGAAGTCTTAATAGTTAGTCTTAATCTAGTAGTTTTAATATATTCAAACATATTTAGGGGGATAAACTAAGATTGCTAGTTCCACATATAATATCTAAATCTAATGCTCAAACTCCATCCGACTCTTGCGAGTCACTATATTTGTTAGGGCCGCTCCTAAAAGATGTAATTTGAGCTTTACCTTTCTTCATCAAAAAAAGATGTAATTTGAGCGTATCACAATATATGCATGACAAATGGTTTAGCAGTTGAATTGATTTCAGATATGGAAATACCAGAGTGCTCTTAGCTTGCAAGTACTAATCCTTGTGCGATACCAATGTTAATATACTTGCACATCAATACTTTTCTGTTTGGGTGTTTTTTTTTCTTTTGCAAGCACATTAGAAACTATTAGTATCCAGTTTCTCAGAAATCAAAATTGGAGGACATGAAGTTAATTATACTTTGATGTAAGCAATCAAAGGAGATGAATTTGACCTGAAATGAACTGCAGGCTAATTCGATTGCTTGCATGGTGGCTTGTAGCTGAGCCAAATCGGCAGCTCCACTATTCTGATAGCCTTGATGCATCTTCCCACCTGAATCAAAAAAACAAATATCAAAATGAATGTGTGGATATAGAAAACATAGATGATGTCTGTCTTCAGAGACACTTGGGTATACCGTGGCGAATGTCTGCAGAAGAGAGAGCGACGAAATCGCCGGAAACAGTGAGGTCAGTGAGGGTTTTGGAGGCGCGCTTTTACAAATCTATCACTCAACAGAAGGAAGGGATATTTGGAAATTTTGGAAACGGGCGATACAAAAATGGGGAAGTCAATGAGGGATTTTCAAAGTATAAATAAATATATAGTATTAAATATGTGTTAAAAGGGATTCCTTTATAATTATTAGGATATGTTTATTAAAACACAATTTTTTATGGATTCTAAAGCTTGACTATTTACACAAAAGCCTAACATATAAAAAAATAAAAAAGCCCAAAATTTAACTTATTTCAATAATATCCATTGCTTATTAGCATCCCTCTATAGAGTATCTTGTTTTATCAAGTAGATCTAAATTATTTATCTCCTCTTCTTCCTAACTTTTCTTTTTTCTTTTTTAAATGTTAGTGATTTACAATCTTCCTACCAACTTGATATTCTCAAACTAGGGTTTATTTATCTTCACAAAAAATAAAAATTAAAAAAATATTGCACTTTAAGATTTTAGAGAAACGCTTTTGCCTTAAAATAAAATGTTCTCGACAATGTAGTGTATGTATGGAATATACGAATACTATCGAATGATCATATGTAAGCTTAATAAGAAAGGCTATCCTTCTAACCTGACGATCGAGAATCTCAACTGGTACATCCTCATAAGAAAGGCTATCCTTCACGGCCACACTCTCTAATGGCACTATGGATGCTAGATCACCCACACACTTCTTCAAAAGAGAAATGTGAAAGACTGGATGCACTGCTACTAAGTCTGCTGGCAACTCTAACTCATAAGCCACTTTACCAATCCTTTTCAAGATCCGGTAAGGGCCTACATATCTGGGACTGAGCTTTCCTTTCTTGCCAAATCTCATCATTCCTTTCATAGGTGACACTTTTAGGAAAACCCAATCATCAACTTGGAACTCTAGTTCCCTTCTTCTCACATCTGCATAAGACTTTTGGCGACTCTGAGCAGTCTTAAGTCTATCTCTAATGAGTTGCACTTTCTCCATAGCATCAAGGACCGAATCTGGTCCTATCAAGGCTGCTTCACCTACTTCAAACCAACCAACTGGAGATCTACATCTACGCCCATATAATGCCTCATAAGGGGCCATCTGAATGCTGGAATGGTAACTATTGTTGTAGGCGAACTCTATTAGAGGAAGGTGATCATCCCAACTACCTTTGAAGTCGATCACACAAGCTCTCAACATGTCCTCTAAGGTCTGAATGGTACGCTCTGCCTGACCATCCGTCTGCGGATGAAATGTTGTGCTAAGATTAACCTGAGTGCCAAGACCTTTCTGAAATGACTTCCAGAAATGAGAGGTAAACTGAGGACCTCTATCTGAGATGATAGACAAAGGAACTCCATGTAACCTCACAATCTCATTAATGTAAAGCTTGGCGTAATCCTCCGCCGAATCTGTAGTCTTGACCGCCAAAAAGCGAGAAGACTTAGTAACCCTATCAACAATCACCCAAATGGAGTCATGTTGTCTGCGAGTACGAGGTAAACCTGTGATGAAGTCCATGTTGATCACTTCCCACTTCCAAGTAGGAATGTCAATCTCTTGAGTCATACCTCCTGGTTTCTGATGTTCTACCTTGACTTGCTGGCAATTGGGGCACTTAGCCACAAAATCTGCTATATCTCTTTTCATACCATTCCACCAATAGACTTCCCGCAGATCGCGATACATCTTAGTGGCGCCTGGATGAATAGAATATCTGGAATTGTTGGCTTCTGCGAGAATATGCTGTCTCAATTCACCCACATCAGGAACACACAATCTACCTTGATAGCGAAGTACACCATCTCCCCCTTGGGAGAAAACCTCCACTCTCTGATTATGGACTGCACCCTTAAGTTCAAGCAAGATTGGATCACTGTCTTGATTTTCCTTAACCTCTACTACCAAAGAAGATTCTGCCCCATTCTGAACTGTTACACCACCATCTGATATGCTCATAAGACGAACTCCTAGGCGAGCAAGTCTATGAACATCCTTTGCTAGCTCTTTTCTTTCTTCCTCAACATGTGCTACACTACCCATAGATAGTCTGCTAAGGGCATCTGCTACTACATTTGCCTTACCAGGATGGTAATGCACACTCATATCATAATCTTTGAGGAACTCTAGCCATCTTCTCTGGCGAAGATTCAGCTCTTTCTGGGTGAATACATACTGGAGGCTCTTATGGTCTGTGAACACATCTACGTGAACACCATACAAGTAATGTCTCCAAATCTTAAGTGCAAACACCACTGCTGCTAGCTCGAGGTCATGAGTTGGATAATTCTTCTCATGTACCTTAAGTTGTCTAGAAGCATAAGTTATAACCTTACCTCGCTGCATTAATACACAACCTAGGCCGACTCTGGATGCATCACAATAGATCACATAACTATCTGAACCCTCTGGTAGAGTCAAGACAGGAGTTGTAGTCAACCTAGTTTTCAATTCTGCAAAGCTTTTCTCACAATCATCTGACCATTGGAACTTAACCTTTTTCTGAGTTAACTTAGTCAATGGAGAGGCTATGGATGAAAATTCTTCCACAAACCGTCTGTAATAGCCTGCTAGACCCAAGAAACTACTGATATCTGTAGCAGAGGTAGGTCTGGGCCATTGTTTCACTGCTTCTATCTTCTGGGAATCTACTCGAATTCCTTCACTAGACACAATATGCCCAAGGAAGGCAACTGATTGTAACCAAAACTCACACTTACTAAATTTTGCAAATAACTGGCGATCTTTGAGAGTTTGCAGAACAACTCTCAAATGACTCGCATGTTCTTCCTCATTCCTAGAGTAAATGAGGATATCATCAATAAAGACGATAACGAACAAGTCCAAGTACTGCTTGAACACTCTGTTCATCAAATCCATGAAAGCTGCAGGGGCATTGGTTAGTCCAAATGACATAACTACAAATTCATAATGACCATACCGAGTTCTGAAGGCTGTCTTCGGAATGTCACTATCTCTGACTCTAAGCTGATGATAACCTGATCTGAGGTCTATCTTTGAGAAATGACTAGCACCCTGAAGTTGGTCAAACAAGTCATCAATCCTGGGGATAAGATACTTATTCTTGATTGTGACTTTGTTCAACTGCCTATAGTCAATGCACATTCTGAGAGAACCATCTTTCTTCTTTACGAACAATACTGGTGCACCCCATGGTGAAATACTAGGTCTGATGAAGCCCTTATCTAGAAGGTCTTTCAACTGCTCTTTCAATTCCTTAAGCTCAGCTGGAGCCATTCTGTAAGGAGGGATAGAGATAGGCTGGGTATTTGGAAGGAGATCAATTCCAAAGTCTATTTCCCTTTCGGGAGGAACTCCAGGAAGATTTTCTGGGAACACTTCTGGAAACTCACTGACTACAGGAACTGACTCAAGAGTTGGGGTTTCAGAACTAGAATCCTTAACCCAAACTAGATGATAGAGATAACCCTTAGAGATCATCTTTCTGGCCTTAAGGTAAGAAATGAATCGACCCATAGGCGCTAAGCTACTACCCTTCCATTCTAGGATTGGTTCGTCTGGAAACTGAAAACGAACAATCCTAGTTCTACAATCGACTGAGGCATAACATGAATGTAACCAATCCATGCCTAGAATGACATCGAAGTCTACCATTTCTAACTCTACAAGATCTGCTGAGGTGACTTTCTGAGAGACTGTGACAGGGCAATTTCTGTATACCCGTCTAGCTATAATTGGGTCACCGACTGGAGTAGAGACTGAGAAGGGTTCTGAAAGAGTTTCTGGACTAACACTGAATTGGACTGCTATATAAGGAGTTACAAAGACAAAGTAGCCCCTGGATCTAACAATGCATAAACATCAAGATCAAAGACTCGTAACGTACCAGTGACTACATCAGGAGAATCTTCCTGATCTTGACGAGCCTGAAGAGCATAAAGCCTGTTTTGGCGCTGTCCGCCACCAGTACCAGAAGAGTTACCCTGCTGAGTCGGGCGACCTGCTGGTGCTGCTGAAGTTGTAGACTGAGCTCTACCATTATTTCCTCCTTGACCTTGTCTTAAAGGACAATCCTTCAATCTATGACCAGACTGGCCATACCCAAAGCATCCTTCCTTACCTGCAAGGCACTCGCCCGGATGGTTCTTACTACATTTCGGGCAAGTTGGGTAAGTTTTGGTGCCTGAAACACTACCTTGAGACTTAGAGCCTGATGCCCTACCTTTCTGATCATTATGGAACCTGGGGGATGGAACACTAGCTGATGAAGGGGCTGGAGTCGAAGACTTCTGCTGAAAATGCGAGCGGTTTCCACCACCCGATTTCTGGTGGGAATACTCGTAGTTACCTGTTCTTTCTTTCTTAGTCTCCTTAGCATGTTCCCTAAGCTTATCACCCTCAACCTGCTGAGCATGAGTCATGAGCCTAGAGATATTCATGTCTCCCAACAACATAGCATTCTTGCACTCTGTTTTCACTAAGTCTGACACTCCATAGAGAAACTTATTCATCTGAGCCCTGGAATCAACAACCATGTGAGGAGCATACCTGGAGAGTTGGTTAAACTTGAGCCCATACTCTTGGATAGTCATGTTACCCTGCCTTAAGTTCATAAATTCCTGGGCCCTTGCTTCTCTCAACTCTATGGGGAAAAACCTGTCCAGAAAGGTTTCGCTAAAACAATCCCAAGTAATAGGAGCGACATCTGTACCCCTGTTCTCCTTCCACTGAGTATACCAGATATGAGCTACATCCTTAAGTTGGTAAGATGCTAACTCAACCCGATCATTCCCAGTGACCTGCATCACCTCAAAGATCTTTTTGATCTCATCCAAGAAATTTTGGGGATCTTCACCAGTCTGCGATCCTAAGAACTCTGGAGGATTCATCCTAACAAAGTCACGGACCCTTGCTGCTGCTGATCCACCATTTGTATTCACAGGAGCTTGAACCCGCTGATTGTTCTGGTTAGCGACACTCTGAGCCAACATCTGAATGGCAT